CACTCTTTCTTATTCCTATATACAGTTGGTCTCTTGAATTTTCTTTTGAGTAGCTTTACCATCCTTCTAATTCCTTCCCTAATGATTTAAATACATCTTTGATAAGTATTTATTCTGTATTTGAATGAGTCATGCTTTTACATTTGAAAATTTTACTTTTAAGACTACTAACGTAAAAAGTACACTCAGACTTTACATTGCTGCCTGGGAAAGAAACATTTCCAGTCTCAGCCATCACTGGTAATGTTCAGGATGAATTGATTTTCACTATTCCAAAAGATTTTCAGATTTTAAACTCTTAATAGAGCACGGCCAATGCAAACACACGTCACACACAAAAAAGTTCAGATGATTTATAACAATATTTCTTTATATTAAGTCTACCTATAAGAGATCTGAGTATATACCATTAATATACTTAATTCAACTCACCCTGACTGGTGTTGATAAGTGATTAGAGCCCCAGACCCGAAAGGGTCATGGGTTCAATTCCTGGTCAAGGGCATAGCTGAGTTGTAGGTTCTACCCTGGCCCTGGTCGGGGATGTATGGGAGGCAACCAATCCATGTGTCTCTCTCACATCGATGTTTCTTTATCTCTCCTCCTTCTCTTCCCTCCCTTCTACTCTCTCTAAAGATCAATGGAAAAAATATCCTGCCCTAGTCGGTTTGGCTCAGTGGATAGAGCGTCGGCCTCAGACTGAAGGGTCCCAGGTTCAATTCTGGTCAAGGGCACATGCCTGGGTTGCAGGCTCAATCCCCAGTCGGGGGCGTGCAGAAGGTAGCCGATCAATGATTCTCTCTCATCATCATTGATGTTTCTATCTCTATCTCCCTCTCTTTTCTTCTCTGAAATCAATTAAAAATATATTTTAAAAAACATCCTTGAGTGCTGGAGTCCAAACCCAGCAGGTCCAGGGGTCCCCAAAGGTGAGGACGGAGTCGGCGAAGAAGGAATGACACGGAGACAGCGTTCAGTTGATCAGCAGCCTAGGCAGGATCTCTAGCCAAGTTCTAGTCAGGATCTCCAGCGAAGTTCTGGTTAGGATCTCCAGCCAGGTTCTGTGGCCATGTTCTCTTGCTAGGTTCTCCAGCCAGGTTCGGGTTAGGTTCTCCAGCCAGGTTCGGTCGCCAGGTTCTGTAGCCGGGTTCTCTTGCCAATTTCTGTAGTCAGGTTCAGTCCAGGATCTTTTGCCATGTTCTCTCCAGCGAAGTTACCCGCCTGGCACTTAGCAAAGGGGTTTTATTCCCTCCCTAACTTCAGGGGAAAATCTCTACCTGGGGAAACAACCTTTCTCAGAGAGGTGACCTTGGTTAAAACACAGCGCCAAGAAGGTGAGCAAACATATTAAGAACAGTATGCCATATATGCCAGGTCCCTTGAAACAGCAAGGATGGACCGGCTCCCGGCACTTGAGTGAAGACAAATAAATAAAATATGAAAATAAAAGGACCCTCTTTTTAAAAATAAGGCGTTTCTGTAGTGCACAAGAAATGCTCAATTATCAATGTCATTGCCAGGTTATGCAGCAAGCATGGCTTCGAGCCATCTGTGGCTTCTGTGGCTTTTTCTCTGTCTGTCAGCAAATGCCTGAGCTGACTTCCCATGGCAATTGTCAGAGACCTGAAGCCTCCTCAGTGAATACCTCCATCACCAATCTTCTCATTTAGAGCAGGAATCAAAGAAAGAAGAGACGCACAATGATTGTGGGCCCTACTCTCATATCAAATT